TTCTCGCTTCCTCCTTTCTCTGTCTGCTTTTCCCCAGGACCACAGAGAGCACTCAGTGGTGTGCCCTGCCCTTTCCCATACACATTTTCCCAACCATGACCTCATCTGAGGCTCACAGTCCCTGCCCCTCCCTGGGGAGATAGGCAGGGAGGGGCTCCTCATCCCACAGTCTAGATGGATGGAGTGAAGCCCGACAAGAGAGTGACTTGCTGGGAGTCACCTAGAAGCCAGGTCTGACTTCCCCTGGCATGAGGGGAGGGTCTCCCCAGGGTGTGTCTTCCTCCCCACTGGCTTGAAGGGTGCCCTCCTGCTGTCCGTTGGAGCTGGGACTCCCAGCCTTACCCAGAGGGCTCTCTGCAGCTCTCTATGCCAGGAGAATGGGGCGGGCAGTGCCTAGCTCCAGAGCGTTCTGTGTTCATTCAAAAACAAATTGTTACTGAGTCTACTATGTGCCAGGCACAGGTCAAGACCCTGGTCAGAGCAAGCTTTTGAGAGAGGCAGGAAGGAGGGACAGAGCATGCTCGAGAAAGGGGAATGAGTTTCCCTGGGGGAAACGGGTCTGCAGCCAGCCAAAGAGGGGACAGGGCCTGGATGTCAGTTGTCTCTCAGGAAGCTGCTGCTAAGATGGAGTTAGAAGTACAAGAGATTTACTGAAGGAAAATTCTATGAAAGATAAAGGTGGAGGGAGCAGAACATGGCAGGGAAAGCCTTCATATGATGCTGCAGGTCTGACATCTATGGCAAGAGAGGGAAGGGAAGGAGCATTAGATAATAAGACCCTCACTTTTCTGTGCCACTCTGAGAAAGTCTCAGCCAGCCAACAGAGATCTCTGGTGCAAAGATTGCCCAAAGAGGAGTCTAAACTGGGCAGACATGGCCAGGTCTTAGTGCCCCAGCCATGCCCAGTCATTGACTGGGGGCTTCCCAGGAACACAATGTCCTCTGCTCCAATGCTGCTTCAGACCCTGAAAGGTACTGCAGCTGGAGGCTGTCAGCTAACCACTCTCTCGCAGCTGATGACTGCCACATCTGGGAGCTTACCCACCCATTTGGCTGGGGCAGCCACCACTGCTGACCAAGACAGAAAACCCAGTGAAACAGAGTCTGGCATCTGGGAAGGAAGCCCAGAAAGCAATCTTCTTCCAGGAGATCCCAAAGCTATGGAGTAGGAATTTATGGGCACAGGACCATGCCTGTAAGATTTCCAGGTAGGAGTTCAGTCCCTAGAACACCAGGCATCAACTAAACCCATCCCTGGATCTGAGGGAATAAAGAATGAGACCCAACTTGTGTCTAAAACTAAACGTCTCAGTAGATGGGAAGAAACACATTAGATTCCATTCAAGAGCTTACTAAACTAGAATAGAAGAGAGGAAGAGAAGAGAGTCAGAGAGACTACAGAAAACATTCTCCCTCATTGAGCAGCATTAGAAGCTGTGGTGGTTTGAAAAGATGTGCACAAATTCTTTTATACTCCTTCCTTCAAATGCTGGAGCTGAATTCCCCTCCCTTAAGTATGGGCTATACTTAGTGACTTGCTTCTAACAAATACAGTGT